AACTTTTGTCTTTTTGCATACTGTTTAGGCGAAATATTGTTTCTTTGAGGCTTTGACCTAACAGCATTAATTTTGACATTAGTTTGGTGACCAATTCCTTGTCTCACTGTGCTTTCTTGACCTTTTACAAATTTTACTACTTGGACTTTATTATTTAAAGTAGTAGCAGAATTGACCAAGTTTTTGGAGGCTTGAGAACACGATGGATCATAACCGAGTCCGGTTTTATCACTTGAGGGTTTTTTCATATTTACCATTTTGTCCATTATTTTGGATGAATGTGTAAATGTTGCTATAACCTCTCTAAGGTTGTGTTCTCTCACTTCCCTTGATTTACACTCTTCTTGAAGACAATTAATTTTATCTTTCAAGTCTTTCACTTCAAGTAGAGCATTTTGCAATTTTTCATTTATTTGATCTTTTTTGAGAATCAAAAGACAATTGCGCTCTTTGAGTTGAGAGTGAGTGTCCATTACGGTTTGACATTCTTCCATTAAGTGAAAGAAGGACTCTCTAGAAAATGAAGAATTGACAGAATCATAAGAGTTAGATGTTACCTCATTTTCTTCATTTCCATTTGCCATAAGACACATGTCCTCGTAGGGTGAGTTGTTGGAGATGCTCATGCAAAACATTGCATTGTCATCCTTTGAGGTGTCACTTTCATCACTTGAAGATTCTTCTGACTCACTTATCTCAAGTGGGTCACTAATGAGTGCTTTTCTTCTCTCCTTTGTGAACCTTTTATCTTTGGGCTTGTATTCTTCCTGTTGAGAGTTAGAAACATTTGTATATTGACTTTTACTTACCTTGGGGTGTGGACAACTTGCTGCAAAGTGTCCAGGCTTTCTACAGTTGTAGCATAAATTCGAATCTTCCTCAACAATTTCTTTCTTCGAATTCTTTGTTGCATTCCACGATTTCCCTTGTGGATTTTTCTTGTAGTTGCTTCTCTTCATGAATTTCCTAAACTTTTTGACAAAGAGAGCAAATTGATCATTAGGCAATAATTCAACATTTTGTACTGACCTTGAGGTTGATGGTTGCTCGGCTACAAGCGCGATGTTCTTTTCTTCGTGATCTTCCTCTAATTTTGATTTCATCTCAAATTCATAAGCTTTTAGATCACTAAAGAGCTTATCGGTTGATAGGGTTTTTAGATCCCTATGATCTCTCATGGCCGTGACCTTCATGTCCCATGTAAATGGTAGACCACGTAGAATTTTGAGTGAGATTTCTTTTTGATTAATATCTTTTCCAAGATCATTAATCTCTCCTAAGATTTTGGCAAATCTTGTTTCCATGTCGGTAATATTCTCGCCGTTTAGCATTTTGAAATCCTCAAATTTCTTTAATGCTATAGTGAGCTTATTATCCTTTTCTTGCTCGTCTCCTTCACCAATTTGAATGAGCGTTTCCCAAACTTCCTTCGCGGATTGACACTTTCGATCTTTTGGAAATATCGTGTCATCGATAGATTTAAACAAAATATCCTTGGCAATATTGTCCAAGTTATTTCTTGTTCTATCTTCACGAGACCATTCCTCTTTTGGTTTTGGAATGTATTGTGGAGTGTCACTTGTTTGTACGGATGAGGTCTTGACTTGCAAAATCTCAATAGGACCACTCGTAACCACTTCCCACATTTCATCATGTAATGCGGATAAATGTACCTGCATGCGAATTTTCCAATCATCAAATTTTTCTAAGGAAAACAATAAATTTTGGGCAAGAGCCATATCTCTTTTCATCATCTTGATTTTTCGAGATCTGTCTAGCAGTCAAAGTTGACTCAAATAGACAACCGCTCTGATACCAATTGTTGGCCCCGATAGGGTGGTGAAAGTCTAGAGGGGGGGGGGGGTGAATAGACTTTCAAGCTTTTTCAAAATAAATAACTCTTTGGTAACTTCAACTCTAAGTAACAAGTAAATAGAGTAAGTTTAAACTGCACAGCGGAATAATAGAGTGTAAAGAGTTATGCCCAACCAATAATTTGAATACGCATGTAAGATAGGTACAGATGATATGTAAAGTGACAGAGATATCTTGACTATATAAAGGAGATGGTGCACTCAATATATAATAATAATAATATTCAAGATTGTAAATAAATATCGTATCACGTCGACAGTGTAACGAATGTTACATGTAACACGTCAAACTTGCTTAGAATAATTCAATATTTAAGCTCGTAAAGTTTGAGTCACATGCATACGTGAAAACACACTAAACCCGAAGGATTAAGATTAACTGTGAATAGTAAACAGGTTAGTCAGATAAGATAGATAGATAGAGCAAATTATGTAAGTGCGGTATGTAAATGAGAGAGGCAATTTATAGGGGTTCGGAAGTGGCGTAATCTTCCTAGTCCACTTTTCTCCTTTCGCATCTAGGAGAAATTCACTATTTTCCACACACAGTTACAATAGTGAATAAGCGCTACACAAGCACTTCTTCCGGATGTCTTGCACACAACTACACCCAACTCCGAGTGTGTCGCACACAGCTACACTCAACTTCGAGTATTTCGCACACAGCTATACTCAACGCCAACTAAGTGTCTCGCACACAGCTACACTTAGCATCTATGAGTGTTTTGCACACAGCTACACTTACTAGAGTATTTTGCACACAGATATACTCTTTCTACAATTACAAATACAAAGGTAATTGTATCTCTCTCCAACTAGATTTGAGACTATTCAGACTAAGTCTCTAAGAATATTTGAGCACTTGCACTTTTCGAATTTTGCACTTTGTTTATCCGTGTGTATTGCACCTCTGCTTGTGTCTTCAAGTCTTCATGGATTTTTATAGGCAATCAAATATATCCGTTGGAGTGGGATAATTTGATATTTGAAATTTGAATCTTCATAGCCTGATATTGTTGACAATAGTAGGTCTTCAATTTTGATTTCATTGTCAACTTGCCTGACAAAATAATATCTTATCTCCAATTGATTTTCTAGTTGTTTAAAATATTATTTTGTTGTCATATTGAATATCCAACGTCTTTGAAATAAATTCATCTGATAGAATTTATTTCTAGGATAAGTTTTTATATTCATTTCTTCATAAGTATTTTTCCGTTCTGATCAAATGTCTTTCAGGCAATTTTGGATTCTTGTGGCATGTGGGTAGACTTAGAATAAATTCCTTTGAATTTATCCAATTTCTGATCATCTTGCTTCTTTGCCACATTGTGCTCCTTGACTTGAACATTGAGCTCCTTTTCAGACATTGTGCTCCTTTTGAACATCGTGCTCTTTAGCAGCATTGTGCTTGTCCGCATTGTGCTCTTTTTAAGAACATTGTGCTTGTCCGAAAACTTGACTTGTAAAAATAAGTCCTTAGGGGGGAATCGATCTCAGGTGTGATCGTTTTGAGTAAAGATTTCTACCCATTTCGCCGTTAAGCTCATCCAATCATTTTTTGCAACACCATTCCTTTATGCTTCTTTCTCAGATGAATACTTGTAGGGCCAAAATTAATTTCTCAAATTAATTTTGTTCTTCCTATGGTAGATTCCTTTTGACTCGATATTCTGATTTATGATGCTTGTACTAAAAGACTTAAAAACCAAGGGATCTAAAGTACATTTGGCTCATCAAAACTTACAAAAATATTCCTATCAAAAAGTCATAAAAAATTAATAATACAAAATTATATATATGTGTGTAAATCTCAGAATTAATTAATACAAAGTATTTAAAAGTCATTAGAAAATATAACAAGCACAATTTGCCACCTAAATAAATCTGCACACACCCAAGAGTTAAACCCTGGCTTCTTACACAAATAACACGTGGGCCTTACCACTTGATCTAATCATCATTTGTTAACTGTTTCTATTTTTATTATACTTATACTAAAACTTGTACTATATCTACATATATACGTACAAGGGTTATATATGGGGTGGGGGTGGGGTGAGTGGGAGCAGCTGCCCCCATGCTGGGTCCGCCCCTGTATCCATGGGGGTATCAAAGGAAACATGGGTGTGCAGTACGGATTTCATCAGATGGCTATCGGAGAGGCAACAAGTCAAAGTACGCAAGACTGACGCCTCCGATGAGTCCAAGAAAAGACTCTTTACGGATAGCAAATAATCATCAGCTACTAATCCAACGCGTCCTCCGCCACTGCTGGACAACAAGAAGCAGCAGCTACTTCAGCCGTCGGGTTCGTCGTGCTCGCTGCTGGCGGCTGCAGTTTCCGGCGTGTCGATGGAGAGTATGATAGAGCAAAAGCTGGTGAACGCGGTGTAAACATGCCAGCTCACTTCGAACGGGACGTCGGCAAGTATATTCGCATTTGGGAAACGTGTTTCTTGTATAATACGAGACGTGCGCTTCCCAAATGCAAATTACAAATACACTACAACCACATTTGGGAAACACGGTTATAGTATTTTATACGCATTGGCATTTATTTCGACGGCGTTTAGGAAATGTGATTTTCAGCCTAACCGTGTTTCTCAAACTCGATTTTTCCTTGACCGTCCAAAATTAGTCAGCGTCCTATTTTTGTCCAACACCAAGGGAAAATGCCTATAACAGTTAATTTCCCCTGCTGATGCTGTGAGGCAGTATCTATGGCTGTTTGAGGAACACAATGTTCATGAATTCCTAGTTCTTGCTGGAGATCATTTGTATTCAGTGGAGGCCGTGTTCATTCTCTATGCATGTTAAGGATATATGTGGCTGACATATTTTGTATATAATAAATCTAGTTGCATTCCTTTTATGTAGCATTGTTAGACTGGTTGTTACAACAACCTGCTAACTACTCACTATCTTCTCTCCCTTGTATGCTATTTAAAGCTGGTTGTTTTACATCAATAATATCAGTTAAGTGCATAATCTATTATGGTATCAAGAGCCTAATTTCTCCCATGAAGTTTTTTTTTCTCCTTCCCCTTCCAAATGGCTTCCGCTACTACAACCACAATAATCTAATTAAATGCCCCAACACACTTCCCAATTAAACTCATAACCATGAATTTCCCGGTGTGGAGGCGTCAAATTCATGCCACACTTGTTGGGTTTAATCTCTTTGGCTATGTTGATGGTACAACCAAGGAACCAGCCAAATTCACTGATCCTGCTCAAACTTCTATCAACCCGGCTCATTTAGCTTGGTATCATCAAGACCAAGTTATTGTCAGTGCTCTACTTGGGAGCTGTACTGACACCATACAGCCCCTTATCTCCTCGGCTACGACATCCCATGATGCGTGGCAACATTTTGTTGCTAATTACGTCAGTGCCTCACGAGGACGTATCATATCCCTCAAGGCTAAACTCACGAGGAATCCGCGAGGGTCTCGGTCCATCACCACTTATCTCAATGACATGCGAGCCATAGCTGATGATTTAGCGTTGGCTCAGTGTCCCGTACCTGACGAAGGTCTAATCGTCTATGTATTGACTCAGCTAGGCGAGGATTACAGTTCCATCACATCGGCCATCCGCGTTCATGAGAAGCCTCTTTCTTTTGGCGAGTTGGCAGATGTGCTGACTGACCATGAACGCCAATTGACAGACACAGATGCTTTGCATCAGTCCTTTTTTACTACTAATGTTACTCAACGCACCTCGTCACTTCCGCGACGCAACCACCAGTCCAACACCAACCGGAGGGCCCGCAATAATAACAATCATTATGGCTCCAATCGGCAACAAGGGGAACACAATCGCTCAGGTATTGTCTGTAAGTTTTGTTATCTTACGGGTCATGAAACAAGGGTGTTTCGCAAGCTAGCCTGATTTTTAAAGGAGCATGATGTTCCTCCTGTGCAATCCTATGTATCTCCTACAGCCAATTCAATGACTAGGGCTTCTCCTCCCTGGACGTTTGATAGTGGGGCGTCGCACCATGTGACACCAAGTCTCGCTCCTCTGCAGACTTTCGCCGAGTATAGTGGATCGGATGAAATACGTCTCGGTGACGGTAATTCCTTACAAATATCCCATATTGGCCAATCTGTCATTCCCACTCCTTCTAATGTTCTCATTCTAGATAATGTCTTGCGTGTCCCACAGTTACACACTAATTTAGTTTCTATTTCCCAGTTATGCAAGACTAATCATGTGTCTGTTGAATTCTTTGATTCTCATTTTCTGGTCAAGGAACTTCGAACGGGGATTCCGCTGCTACGGGGAGTGAACATTAATGGTGTCTATTTTGGACCAGTTGCCTCTCACCCAACAGTTCATGCTACGCAGTTGGCTTGTTTGTCTTAGTGGCACCAACAACTTGGCCACCCGTCGAATAAGGTGTTGCAACTTGTGTTGCAACACTGTAATGTTCCAGTTTCCATGTCATCTCTGCGAAAATTTTACTGTTCTTCCTGCAATGTTCATAAAAGTCATAAACCGCCATTTTCTAAAAATACACTTGTTAGCACTAAACCTTTGCAACTTGTTTATACTGATGTGTGGGGACCTACTGAGAACTCTATTGATGAATTTCGCTATTATGTCATTTTTGTAGACCACTTCTCAAAATACATTTGGTTGTACCCCATGAAACGTAAATCGGATGTGTTTACAATATTCATTCAGTTCAAACAGCTAGTGGAAAAATATTTTAGCCTGTCAATTATTTCTGTTTACTCAGATAATGGGGGCGAGTTCATGAGACTTGGGCTATTTTTTAATACTCACGGTATCCCTCATTTCACCACCCCGCCACACACTCCTGAGCACAATGGTGTCGCAGAGCGACGACACAGGCATGTCGTGGAAACTGGCATGTCTCTTCTTTACTCCGCGTCTTGCCATCCTCATACTGGACCTACGCCTTTCAGACAGCCGTATATCTTATTAACCGGCTCCCTACTCCAATTTTAGGTAATCAATCCCCATTTTATGTCTTGTTCCAACAATTGCCTAATTATGCCAAGTTACAACCCTTTGGTTGCCTGTGTTTTCCATGGTTGCGTCCCTATAACACCAAGAAACTACAACCAAAGTCACGTCCATGTATTTTCCCTGGCTACTCGAACACCCAATCCGGTTATAAATGCCTAGATTTTGGTTCGAATCGTATTTATGTATCTAGGCATGTTAGATTTGTGCCCCATGTGTTTTCTTATAACGATTTGCAGAAGTCATCTACCAACTTACCTTCTGCTTCTAATGCTTCAGAATCACGTCATATATTGTGTAAGTCGTCTCCTTTGTCTACACAGGTACAACCCGTGGGTGTTCCAACACAGGTTCCAAAACTCGTTCCAACACCAGTTCAAAGTCCAGTTCCAACTCCGATTCCATGTCCAGTTCCAACTCCAGTTCCAACACCAATCCAACACCATGCATCGGAGGTCCTCCAAGGCAGGTTGGCCGATGATGATATTGTGGGCGTAGCTGATTTTCACCACCACGAACTCCACCTCCCACTTTTTGACGTGCGGCAGGGTGCCGATTTGTACCTTGAGGGTGATGGAGCCCTCTGTTTCGATGGAGTCCCTGGTAAAACCAGATAGCGGGGTCCGTACCGGGGAGAGCTGCTTCCGGGATAGCCCGAGTTGGGTGAAAGTGTCATAATACATGACGTTCACGGAGCTCCCCGTATCCACCAGTACGCGGTGGACGATGATGTCCTTGATCTCCGGCCTAATTACCAACGCGTCTCGATGGGGCAGGGGGCCATCCGGGAGGTCGTCGTCGGTGAACGTTATGGGCTCCCAGCGTGTCCTCTTCTCATGGGGTGCTCGTACAACCTCCCCCATGTATAGGCTCCGCGCCCACCACTTCCTCTCAACGGGCGTGTCTCCTCCCTTCGGGCCGCCAAAGATGACGTGGATGACTTTCTTCTTTGGCAGGCTGTCTGGCTCGATCTCCTCGTCCTCCGTGAGTTGGCCAAGCTCCCTCTTGCGCGGGGCAGAGGCGGATGGCCCGGCGCCGTCCTTCTTCTTCCGAGCGTTGTCGGGGCCTTTAGCGTGGTCCTGCCCGAATCTCTTCACATATTGGCCTAGGTATCCCCGTTGGATGAGCTCTTCGATCTGCCTCTTGAGGACCATACATTCGTCTGTGTCATGCCCGCGCTACCGATGGAAACGACAGTACTTCTTCGGGTCGGCCTTGGGGGAGATCTTCAAGCACTCCTCGGGGAACGAAATGATGCTCATGTCCTCCGCGTGGTCCAAAATGACGCTCATGGGCTGTGTCAGCGAAGTCAGGTGTCGTAGTGGGGCTAGACGGGGACCCCGATCACGGCGTGATCGCGAAGGGCGACGGTCCTCTTGAGGTTAAGGCACCTTGTTGCCCTGGCCCCGACCTTCCTCCTCCTCTTTCTTCCTCTTCTCCATTGCCTTGGCATTGGCGTACCGCGCGACGCGGTCCATCAGCTCTGTGTACGTCTTTGGCTCGTTCCGGACGAGGTCGCTGTGGAAAGGACCAAACCTGAGGTTGTTGGTGAAGAATGGGATGGCGGACCTTTCGTCGAAATTGGTCACCCCCATGGCCTCCTTCTTCCACTTACTCAATTACTCCGTCAAGGTCTCTGACTTGTGCTGCTTCAGGTAGCACAGGTCGGCGAACTGTTTCCTTCGTTGTATGCTACCCACGAAATGCGACATGAACTTCTTAGCTAGGACGGCAAAAGTGGGGATGGACTTCCCCGGCAAGGACTCGAACCAGCCTTGGGCCTGGCCATCGAGGGTTGTGCAGAAGCCGCGACACATGGTTGCGCCATTGACGCCCGTCATCATCATGACTGCCTTGTACCTGTTGAGATGATCCCGTGGGTCAGTCGCCCCCGTGTAGGGTTTGATGGCCGGGAATCGGAAGTCCCGAGGCAGGGGCTCGGCCATGATGTCCTCCGTGAAAGGTGTGGCCAGGGCGTCCCGAGGCTCCGGTGACTCGTCGCGTGCCTCCATTTTGCACTGCAACTCGCACATCTACCTGCGCAACTATTCCATCTCGTCGCGCTGGGCGCTCGGAGGTCGGCCTCTGGTCTCCCCTGAGTGCTCCATTGGTGGGGTCGGCTCCCGTGGCCCCGGAACACGAGGTTCGTGGCTCCGGGACCTCCGTGAGCACGACGACTCCGCCTTTTTGGCGTTGGTGGCCGGCCTCGGCCCTAGGCGGTCTCGCGCCGGCACACGCGGGCCCAACCGCCCGAGCGCGGATGTGGTCCGGGTCGGCCGAGTCTGCCTCTCCCCATGATCAACATGCATTATGATCAACATGAAATCTAAACTTTTTAATTCTCTTGAACCAAGAAGTATGCTGGGTTGTGAAACAAGGAATGCTTTTTAAGTCTATGTATAAGACAGTTAATTGGTTTAGGCATAGCAAATCCTCAAATGGTGCAATTGCCTCAATTGTATTCATAGTTCCCCATTGGATACCACTATCTTCCATATTCAGAAACTCCAGCTTATGTAACTTGCAAAATTTTCCAATCAGAATTTCTCTCAGCTGAAGGGTACTATCTAGAAGTAATATCTTTAAATTTGTAAGTTTTTCAAAACCGGCTGGGAATTTAGTTATAGGAGTAAAACTATAATCAAGTATTTGAAGTTTTCCTAGAGCTTCAAGGGGAGGCAACTCATGTAGTAAATAGCAGTGTCTTAAAATGAGAGCTCGAAGTTCAAGAAGTTGAAGAAGAGAGTTAGGTAATAACATGATATTGCTTTTACTTAGGTCCAAAGTTGTTAACATTTGGAATCCTTGTAAAAATGAGTTAGGAACTTCATGAATGCTCCAGTTACCTAGCAGAAACAAAGTTGTTGTTTCTGGACATTGTATGCTGCAGTCTGGCAAATATGCTATTTTGCTATGCATAAAAGATACTCTCTTCACTTTGTCAGAACAACTAAATAGTTGCTGTGAGATCTGCATCTCGGTAGTTCCAGAATTGATAATAGATTTGCACCAGTCTTCTGAAGATTTCGCTATCCATACCCCAACATCACGAACTACATCATGCATCTTCACTTTATCAATGCCCCGCATCTTCACTTTATCAATGCCTACTGCGCACTTTTCTAACAAACAAGAGCTTATTAAGCAGTCAACAATGCGTTTAACATCATTTTGTAATTGCTCATAGTTTTGTTGCCCATCAAGTAAACCTTCAGCTAGCCAATATTGGACTAGTCTATCAGTATCAATTTCAAAGTCCTCCGGATACAAGCAGCAAAACAAAAAGCAAGATTTCAACTGCTCACCTCTTAAAGAATCATAGCTCCACTTGAGCAGTTTATAGACCTTTTCTTCAACCCCACGAATCTTAGTGGGCTCTGCTTTCTGCAAGGCGTATAATGCACCTTTCCACAGTGCAACCTCTGTCTTTTTCCTCAATGACGCCTCTACTGTGATTAGTGCTAGGGGCAATCCATTGCATTCCTCAACGATGGCCTTTGCCAACGGCTTAATTTGGTCATCGTTAACCATTTCTTCCCCCACTTTCTGAGAAAATAACTCCCAAGCTTCTTCATCACTCAAACCACCTATTTCGAACTCAATATGAGTAGACATTTCTTGGCATACATGAAAATTTCGAGTGGTTAGTATGACCTTGCTACCAATATCGTCTTCAAGTGGAGGAATACCTACAGCATTCAGATCAACTCCTTCCCATATATCATCAAGAATTAAGACAAATCTTTTTCCCTTAAGTTTGTTGTACAAACGATTGGCTGCGCTCTCTTCACTCTCTTCTTTATCCACTGGCAAAAGCAATTGCTTAGCGATTTTTGATTGGATGATTTCTACAGTTGCATTCCGAGACACAACAACCCATATTACAATGTCGAAATCCTTTTTTGTTGGGTCCTTACTGAACTCATTGTTCACATTCTTGACTAAAGTAGTTTTACCCACACCTCCCATGCCCCATACCCCAATCATCTTAGCCTTTTCATTTCTCAGCAGCAAATCCTTCATCTTCTCCAAATTTCTTGCTGCTGTTGCTTGACCTTGGAATAATGTTGCTTGGGGAATATACTCAACTGTATTAGGCACAGGATTAACCCCCACTATCTTGTTCTCAAAGGCTCTGCCATCTCCAATCAGTTGTTTAACTTTCACCCGCCTTTCGCTATACTGTTGCTCAATCGGCAATCCAGTGAACACTTGCAACCAGAGGCACCATTAGTATTGCCATTCCGTGTGATAATTGACCGCACAGAATCAAATTCATTCTGCAATTTTTCAACCCTCTTCAACCAATCATGCACTTGAGTTCTTGGTAAGTGTTGCTGCAGCTCATCATCATCTAGGAGTTGCTTCAGTTCCAATAGAGCTTCCATGTTTTTCTCAAAATCCTTGTAATTTGAATGGATCTTGAAAACATTCTTCATCCTAACATAGATGGATCCGAACAGAAATCTAAAAGGCTCGGTTAGAGCTGAACCAACAATTGCCCCCACCACTTCCATGTCAAAGTACCGAATACAAAAGAAATTCAAGATTTACTGGAAAAATTCAGACTTTTTTTTTTTAAAAGTGAAACTCACCGGAGAATGATTATGCAAGACAAAGACTGCAGTAGTCTTACTGAAGAATGCATCTCCCAAAACTTTACTTGGGCGACACTGTGACAGCGCTTTGAAGGGGGAAAATAAAAGTCAACCAGAAAAATATATTTATATAAAAATATTTTCTTCGAAAACCAAAAGACAAGTCAATAAATCTCATAAGTAGTTAATATGATTGGCTTAATTATATTTTTTTTTTTAAAAGACAATTATTATTATTATTATTATTACTAGTAATTGTCTCGTGCGATGCACGAACTATTATTAATTTAACAAATTTACCAATTAAATTTTTGGCACCTCTGAATTAGCAAAGAAAGTAATGGTTGTGGAAACGTACTTGAGTTGTTGAGCTCAGAATTAATTTGATTAAAAATGTAAGTATAATATACAATGTAATATTTAATATTTTTAAAAGTTTAATTATGCTATTATTATGTTGATTTTTTTTTTAAAACTACTGACTCTATTACATTGTAGTATCTATTCGTACATACTTTTTCAACTTGTTGAAACAAAAAGAGTCAACATCGCATTCACTGAGGCTCAATCTCATGACCTCCCATATGGGAAAGTCAGTACATGTCATTTGAGTTTAAAGTTTATTGTTACTTGTATTATTATTTGAATGTGAAATAACTACTTTAATTATATAACTAACATTTTTTTTTTTGAAAGTTACTGGCTCTATTACATTGTAGTATCTGTTCATATACTTTCTCAACCTACTGAAACACAAAGAACCAATAACGCCTCCACTGAGGCTCGAACTCATAATCTTCCAAATGGAAGTCCAACCCGGGTACCATTAGACCACATAGTCCTGGTTAATTATATAACTAACATATTTAAATAAAACTTGTAAATAAAATAATAGGCGATATTTGTCGAAAATCTCCACCAAAAACTTATTCATTTGAAAAAGATTATTTTTGTAAGAACTATATTTATTTTATATCTAATTTCTCCTCTTCATATATGTTGAGTCAAATTAATTATAATTGAGGTTTAAATGAATATATACACAAGTTATATTAAATATAAAATTTACCTATAAATTTGAACACAATAAACTTTTTTCCATACTTCATTATGTTTTAACATATATACAGATAGATATAGAGATAGAGATAGATGTATAATAAAAAAATATAATTTATAAAATATAAATACACATAATAACTTCAAAAATATATGTATAAATACATCTATCCACATAATTAATGCATTCACACTTTGGAGGAAAAATTTTGTGGCTAGATTATGTTTTATTATCTAAAAACATAATAAGTGTGGATGAAGGTTATACCCTTCATTTATGTCTGTTTTTTTTCGTTAAGTTTTATGATACATTATGCTATAAATGTTGTACTATATAATATTTTGGACAAACATACCCCTACCGTTATAACTTCCGTTATCTTTTCCACTATTGCTACCATGCACAAGCATCCACCATATATTTTCTTATTTTTAATAATAATAATAATAATAATATACACATTATATATTGGAGTTATATGTTAGTTATTTCTTAAAATATAAATATTAAATTTATAGAAATGTTTTATGTTATCATTATTATTTACAATAATTTAAATATCTAAAATCTAAATAAATTAAAAATTAGGCACCTAGATTAGGCACATGTTCTTCCATCTCATCTAGTACGCTGTTAAATCAATCTTCTCAGATTAGAGTGCGAGAATGTTGAAGTGAAGGCAGTCTAAATAATTAAAATAAAATCATATAAGCAACACTCTAATTAACTAGTGGCATGACAATAATTAAAAAGAAAAAAGAAAAAAATAAAACCTATACTACACCCTAAATCCCCTTTAAAAAATCATTTAGTAAATACTAATTCTGGTCTGACGAATATTAGTAAAATGACAATTTTTGTTCAAATGTTAATTCCTATCAATTTTTATTTATGACTATTGTTTTAGTACCAATTTTCATCCGCGATTATTATTTTAGTGTCAAAATTCATCACGCTAGTCACACCTCCCTAGACATGCCGAAATGTAAAAATTTTAAAGGTATTTTATCCTTTTCAACTTAATGTCTCAATTTGAACATGAATAAAGGCATTTATAAGTCCTAATATCTTTCTCAATTCGCATTTCTCCTCCTAATCCTACCTTAATTTGAAGAGGAGAACTGTGAATAGAAGGGTTAATTTTTTTTTTTATTATTATTAATGCTCAAATTGGGATCTTAACTTGAAAATGACGAAAAATATCCTTAATAATTTTATATTTCCACATGTCGTAAACGATGGGGTGACCAGTGTGATGAATTTTGACAATAAAATAATAGTCGTTGATGAGATTTTATACTATTATTAAAAATAAAAGGGACAAAGTACAAATAAGCCACTGAACTATTTGAGAAACATCAATTAAGCCATCGAACTCAAATAATCCTCAAATAAACCATTAAACCCCGAAAAAAGAGCAAATAAGCTATTAAACCCGGGAAGAAAAAAATAACATTTTTAACAAGTTAACTCCCGTTTTTTGTTGACTGAATGGCCAAATGTTTATTTTATTTACGTTTCTTCTTATTATTATTAATTTAATATTATCCACTTGGATAGTATTATATTTTAAAGTAATTATAATTAAAATAGTTTTGTCTTAACTTGGCGAGATTTGATTAATTTATTTATTATTTTTCACTGGATCTTCTCTTTAAAAAATAATATATAAATAAATAAATTATATCTAGACTAGACAAAACTATTTTAATTATAATTACTTTAAAATATATTAGTATGCAATGTATTATAATAAAAAAAAAGTAAGTAAAATAAACAATTGGCAATTCAGTCAGCAAAAACCTGAAGTTAACCTGTTAAAAATGTTGATTGCTCTTTTTTTTGAGGTTCAATAGATTATTTGAGGGTTATTTGAGTTTGATGGATTAATGGATGTTTTTCAAATAGTTTAGTGGCTTATTTGTACTTTATCCCAAAACAAAATCCTTCTTTATTGCATTCCCGCCCAAACAATAAAAAAGAAATAATAATAAGTAATCCTTATTAAGTAATTTCCGTTTCCTTTTATATGATAATCATAATACTTATTAAGGAAAAATAATAATCAGTCAATTAAGGAATAATAATACTTATTAAAAAAAATCTTCTTTTTTAATTTTTCGCCCAAACATTTAATACAATTCTAAATTAATCGGTTATTAATAATTTAAATTAATATTACAGTACAAATACTTTCCTATCCATAATACAAATTCTACTTATTATATTACAGAATCTCCAAATAATATATTAGATTTGTTTATAATTTTATCTTTAATTTTATTATATAAACTTATTAAGGAATAATAATACTCCCTCTGTCTCATTTTAGGAGGCTCGACAAAATTTTAAATTGTTAACTACTAACACTTTGAAGTAATTTGAAAATGAAGTAAAACCAACCAATAACCCCTTCAACTTGAACAAAAAAAATGATAGAGATACTCTTATGATAATTTCAAACCAATCATGATGCACCACTCCAGGGGTCCAGGTGTATGTGTTTTATATTGTGAGTTTTTGTGTCTTGTGTTATGAAATTTTGTACCTGAAACAAATTAGTTGTTGTATCTTAATTTTGTGCATATGAATATAAATTTTGTACGTATATCAGGTTTGAAAATAAGTAAGTATATAATATATGTATGTGTCTTATGTTGTGATTTTAATTTGTATGTCTTTGTGTTATGAAATTTTATACCTTAAGTGTATAAACTTTGTACCCAGGGCCGGTCTTATCATTTTATAGGCACAGGGCAGGACAAAAAAATGGGCCTCGATTAATATATATTTCATGCCTAAAATTTAAATTAAATAAAGAAAAATTATGAATATCAATAACTTTAAATAAGATTAACAAGTTTTTAACAATTTTACATACACAATAATAATCATTGAAAAAAATTCTAGGTGCTTTCCTTAATGCAAAATAATAAATAATCGTATAAGTGCCTTCATAAATAAACAATTATTATATTTTTATAAAGATGAATAAATAATTTAAAATCGAGTAAACTTATAAACAATAACATTGTTATCATAATTAATAATAAATTAATTATTATTAAAATTTTATAAAACAATAATTACAGTGAAGCTAAAAATTTTTTTTGACTAGGAGCAAGAAATTAAAATATTTCAAAACGCAATAAAAAAAATGCAAAAAGATATGAAACATAATTATCTAGATAAAATAGTTTGAACATAAATCATATTATTTTTTTTGGTGTAAACATAAATCATATTATAAATCACACATCTTCTATATTATTTATATGATTTTTATAAATATTTTTTCTTTTAAATACATAAATTTCAAATCTTTTTAGAATAATTTTAATATAATGACACATGATAGAAGCTTCTATATTACATTGATGGGATATTCATAAAAAGGTACGGAGTAAATTATCTTTTATTTTTTTTTATAATTCAATCTCAAAATATATCATATAACCCCCTCCGTCCTATTTTCACATGTCTTGTTTGGTTGACATGAGTTGATTGAACTTTTTTTAATTCAATTTTTTATAATATGTTTAGTATAAGTATATAAAAATTTATAAATTTACAAACTGCATTAGAAATTTAATATAAAAATTTATATATTTAATATAAAAAATTTTCATAATATGTTTAGTATAAATATATGAAAATTTATATATTTAAAAACTACATTAAAAATACTACTCCGTATTAAACACAAAAAATCAATAAAAATAATTTTTTAAAAGATACATTAGAATATAAGCAAAGAAGTAAAGTTGAGGAATTCTAAAATGTAGAGGGAAGGTTTGGATCACCGGCCTTTAATTAAATGAGGTTAAAATTCAAATATCCAAGCTAATTCACCTTAGTA